CATTATAAACTGCTGTGACTGGGAGATTGATGAGACATGATGAATGTCTGCGTTAAACCATTGTATGTCTTAAGTCATTACACCGTTTTTAGCTTTTTCAAAAGGTTCAGTTTCTTCTTTGTGGTAAAATGCCTGCTGTCCTCTCTGAACTCAAGGAAACCCCTGTGTGTCAAACCCTTGTATGAACGGAGGGATGTGTGTGAGCTATAAAGGGCATCAGTTCACCTGCCAGTGTCAGCAGGCATGGACAGGGCCGACCTGCAACCAGGGTGAGCTTCTCTTCTTTTCTTCCTGACAGCTTAATAACACTGTCAACATGCACTTTAAATGTTATGTTTCAGTATAACCAAGCAGGAAATAAAATATATTTTTCCATTTAGTTCTGAGGGTTAAGATTCAGGTTTAAGGTCCTATTAAATATAATATTGTGATACCTACATGTGTCCAGATATAGATGAGTGTGAGAAGGACCCCTGCCCCGTTGGGTCCACGTGTGTGAACACGCGAGGTTCCTTCAGCTGCGAATGTCCACTTGGGTTCGACCTGGAGGATGGACGCACCTGCACCAGAGGTAAAACCCCTTTTATACATAACAATGTTAAAACGATAATTCCATCACAGATGATACAAAAACTGTATAATAATTCACAGGTCAAAGTTGTTTTCCCAAAAGCCTTCTTTTGATTCACAGAGAGTATTTTTTCCCCTCCATAGCAAAGACATTCCTGGGAACTTTTAGTGTTAACAGACTCCCACATGACCCTGTTGTCTTCAAGAGCACCACCGTGCATGAGATCCAGCGAGAGATCATTCAGCTGGTGAGAGGCAGTCCACATCACTGTATCTTCTTTCAGACGCGTATTATGTGTATTATATCTTACACACCACTCTCTTCCTGTCTTTACCTCAGCTCAACGCTTCATTGTCAGTCCTCCGAGGTTACAGCCGCTCAATGCTGAGTAAGAAGTAAGTTCTTGTCATCACTTAACCATTACGTGTCTGTGCTTTTTCTAAAATGTGTTGTTATATATTCAGGATGTTTGTTCAAATGTTATTGATTAAAACTACTAGGTTCAGAATGAGAAAAAAATCACTGAGCCTTAAAGATTCAATATGGAGATTTTGTCAGCGTAGACCTCTGTATTGACCTCTGATCTCTTCCCTACAGAGAAGAGGACGGGATTCGCATCTCAGCTGTCAACATGTTTTCTATTTCCACCAATGTGACGAGTGCTGAGGTCTACAACAGCATCCAGATGTCTCTCAGCAACTGCAGCTCCTCAATGGCTCACTGCCGGATGGTCCTGCACCACAAGCTCACTTATCACGGTAAATGTAATAACTAGTAATCATAATTAACCCCCTGATGTTTGCTCGTTTTAAATCAATGCAGTTTTAACGACTTCAAATGTGTGAATGTAATAATACCTTTTTGCCCAGGTGGTCATAATGTTATGGCTGATCAGTGTATGTGTTAATGTGTATAAAGCCACTAGGGGGCACAATTTAGCCATAAATAGCTCCCTCATGAAAGGTACCATGTTACATTTTGAACAAGATTAGACAGTTACATTATTACATCATGCAAAATCTGCTATATCTCACAACCATACACTACAGGGAATCCTACATTAACAGGACTATGAGGACTGTAAGCTCAAATACATAGTAGCAATTTTATGTAGGACTACTTGTGTTCAGATTCCTGTGTTGTTATTGTCAATACTAATTGTGTCTGCACTATCTTCCAGTGGAAAGTCTGTGCGTGGCCCAGAAGACTCAGTGTGATACGGAACGCTCCACCTGCACAGACAGCAGCGGCACAGCCCACTGCCAGTGTCTTCAAGGATACTACAAACACAACCCTGATGACCTGTCGTGCTTAGGTAAATGTGTGTTTCTGTTTAAACATTGCTGGTTCACAGATCTATCCAACTACTTACTGTGAGTCCATGTGTTTTTTTTTTGTAAATACAATAATTAAACTGAAAAAGCAAATACGTATTAACCGGATGTTGAATGTTCCACTATGGTTTACGCCTAAAAACTAGGTGCTGATGACAATCAAGCTTTTACTCCCTGCAAAAACAAAATACTGAGGAGATTTCACATGAAAATGAATCAAAATTAAAGACACAGATTGAAAATTAACTCTTTATACCAACTCTTTTTTCTAAACAAAACATCTTGTTTCAGAATGTGGGGACGGCTACAAGCTGGAAAACGGCACCTGCATTCCGTGAGTTCAACATTTTTTCCCCTCATGTTGCAAATCCAGGTACACTGAAAGATTTTAGACCACATTCTCACTGCAGATTCTGTTTCTGCTTTCAGGTGCATGTTTGGATTTGGAGGATTCAACTGTGGAAATTGTAAGTGATGCTAAAAATACCTGAACAGGCCAAATATAACAATATAACACATATTCAGTTTCGTTAGAAGATATTTTGGTCTACATTTGCTGTTGTGATGCTGATATATGTTTTTTAAAGTTTAACATATGATTTGTGTTATTTGACATTGCAGTTTACAAGCTGATTGCAGTCGTGGTCTCACCTGCAGGGGGCGCTTTGCTCCTCGTCCTCGTCATAGCTCTCATTGTCACCTGTTGCAAGTAAGACTGCTATTATTGTTGATACCAGTGCAGTAATCTCCCTTGCTCTACTGTATTTTCAAGTTGATGAAAAAACAAGTCATCCTAGACCAAGGACTCTGACGCTGAAAGAGAAATGGAGCAGGAACCAGCTAATACAAATATTGTCTTTAATAGTGTAAACTTGGCCTACAATAATGTGTTATGCATACAATAATATATTCATATTTTAATTTTAAATATACATGTGGAATCTAAAATGTTGGATTCATGTTAATTTTCTGACAGTGTTGTAAAATAAAAACTTCCAAAATATTATCTAACAATGGGTCACTAACCCCCTGTTGAAAACCCAGGTCCGACCTAGACTATAAAAACAAGAGTAGTTCACCCAAACTACCAAAACAACACAATCCCTTACTTTAAATGGTTTTGTGAATTTTGCCAAAGGTGTAACTTCTTTAAAATGTTTTCTCCAAGGAAAGACAAGAATGACATAAACAAGATCATCTTCAAGAGTGGAGACATGCAGATGTCCCCGTATGCAGATTTCCCTAAAAGTAACCGCATATCCATGGAGTGGGGCAGAGAGACCATAGAGATGCAAGAGAACGGCAGCACGAAGAACCTGCTGCAGATGACGGACATTTACTACTCTGTAAGGAGACGTACCCCCACTCACTTCATTTGTCTTCATCGTTCAAGTGAAGGCTTTGTTTTGTGTGTCTAGACAGTGGATACAACTGATAAATCATTATATTAGACAAGAGGAAACTGGTTGTTAAATACATTGTGTACATTTTCTCCTTCTCTGTCCCCACAGCCTGCGTTACGCAACTCAGACCTGGACAGAAACGGCCTATACCCGTTCACAGGCCTGCCGGGCTCTCGCCACTCATGCATTTACCCCGCCCAGTGGAACCCCTCCTTCATCAGTGACGACTCACGGAGAAGAGACTACTTCTAACTGCCCAACCTTGAACACGCATGCAGGAACCTACCATCTCTTATACTGACAACTCTGATGTGTCATTATGGTTTTCTGTCACAGTGACAGTGCTAATGTGTGAGCCGCACTGTTTTAGAGAGTCCATCTGCATTCAGGGCTGCACACGAACTATGTAAACGTGTGTGTGTGTGTGTGTGTGTGTGTGTGTGTGTGTGTGTGTGGGCGTGTGCATGTTATGTGAGTGCACATTTTTGCAAGTAAAATGTTTCCTGAGAGTGTTCTTGAATGACCATTTTAGTGTTTTTGCATGTTTTAGCTCATTTACTTCACCTCACACATCACATTGTTGCTGTTGCATCAGACTGCCTAATGTGTTTTTCAAGCTTTCCAGCAGCCACTGATTCTCATTTACTCCGCAGTGTGATGAAAAACAATTTGCAGATGCTTGAAACGTGCTTGAGGTAGTTGATCCGTGACGGTAAACATTATATCTTCCAGTTGTATTGTTGCTGCCCGGTAATGCAGCACAGACTTGCTCAAAAAATCTGCACTGCATTAATGCACAGTGATAAATAAAATCAGATACAGTGTTCACTGTGTTCACTAACAGCACATAATGTGAATTATTGACCTCCAGGAATGTAGGAAAAACACATTTGAATTAAATAAGCAGTATTGTAAAGCATATGTGACGTCTAAGAAATAGGCTTGAACATGCAAAAACACTGAAGTGGTCCTTAAAGTGCTGAAATATGAATGAAATGTGCATGCCACTGCTGTGAATTTTCAGTTTCTTCTTAGATAATAATCTGAGAATAAAGTATTGAGGGAAGAAGACAATAACAAACCACTGAAGGATGCACAAAGTTCTATTTAATGCCAAAAGAAACTGAAAAACTACTTTGAATTCTGATGCCGACTTTTATTTATTCCCTGTATGTCCGAGTCCTTGACATGTAGCATAATGGACCACTCATACATACACACTGACAGACGTAAGAGGGATAAATCAATTGCTTTAAGTGTGTGTGTGTGTGTGTGTGTGAGAGAGAGAGTGAGAGCGTGTGTATTAAGTACTGCTGTTTGTGAGGTGTGTGTATGTGTGAGAGGAATAATTATCTATATACTAGAAGGATCATATGTCAGTGAGTGTTTGAATGTAAAGATGTATCATAATTAGTTTGCTATTTCTGACATGGAGTATTATTTTTATTTTATATTTTCTTCCTTTGTGTTCATATGATCTGTTCATTCTGGCGTTCTAGTCAGACGGGCTTATTTAAATAAAAATAAATTGCACAGCAGTTTTTTCTCGAATCCATTTAAAAATATATATTATTATTATTTATTAATGACATTCCATACTGAGTAAGTAAGTAAGTAAAGCATTATTTATTGGTTATGAGAATGCACAGTGATGAAGACCATGCAGTTGAAAGCTACAGGAAAGCTAATAAGTGCATCTGTCAAACTATAGTGTCACATTAAAATGAATTGAAATGAAACTGCACTAGTTAGGTTAGGTAAGTTAGGAGTACAGGGTAATATAGATAAAGCCTCCAGCTGAAGATGGTGTCCAAGTTCCATATTAAGTGCAAGTGAATAATTACAACTCTAATTTTATTTCATACTAGGGATGTGCTGATCCAAAACTCAGCATCAGTATCGGTCAAATATTAGACAAAATCACTGGATTGCAGAAAATAAAATTATAATCTGACACAACCAATTAGCCTAAACTATTACATGAAGGCTTAACTGTACTTTGGGTTATGTATTTCTTCCTTCATGTGAGTAGAATATTTGTTTCACAGTTTAAGCATTATGTTTTTTAGATGGCTAGGTTACACAAAGTGCATCCATACAAATGTATTATTAACAGTTTAGTTGTTTAAGAGAGGGGAAAAGAGGGTATCGGTATCAGACATGAAATACTATTAACGCTCTAAAGTACTTGAGCTAATTGTTTATTTATAGTCAGTGACAATCAGTTCCAAATACAACAGAGACCCCTTTGTTTGTAAGACAATGATATTGTATGTGGATATCTCCTCCTCTGTGGACAAAGTTCTTTACATGTACTCCGCTCCATTAAAGTTGCTTTCCTGTAGGGTAATGTATAGTCGTTGGCTAAGGAACATATGGCTCACCGCTACATTTGGGTACTTTGACGACCCAATGCATGGAAGCTCCAGACCACAGTTACCATGGAAAAGTTAAATTAGAAAAAATCATGAATAAATATACTTTTTGTGGTATCTTCTTAAATGTATAGATACAGTGTATAATATGCATGGTTGCATGGAACTCAATCAAGTTAAATCATTTTATATTATGTCTTCATGATCCGCATCACGCTGTGAAGCTAAAGCCTTTTTCATGGAGGACATCTTGACATGTCACAGAATGAAAAGCGCAGGTGTACATAATAAGATTATTGATGGCTGAGGTCCATTTAGCTGCTTCAGTGTCAGGGTCCTGTTACTGTTTATGCTGGCTCCCTGTGACATTGTCATGGCTTACGGACAGACAGAGTGTCATCAGGTACACCTGTGCATTTCTTGCTATGACAAGTAAAAAAAAAAAAAGTCTGCTATGAAAAAGGTGTAGTGACAAGAGTGCACTTCTGTTAATTACCCCTGAAAACTGCTCATATGCAACTGTCACAACAGAGCTATGTGCTCTCATCCGTGTCTGTCTCTCTGCCTTTTATTTTGTGCAGCTCTTGCCAACGACCAACAGCCAGATTTACTCTTGTCCGACGGGCCTCTTGCTCGGTCACTCTCTGCTTTTCTCTTCTTAGGGTCCTCCGTCAACATCCCCCTCCCTGGCAGAGTGTCACTGATCTACTCATCGATGGCTCAGTATGGGTGCTATTTCTGAAAATATTGAACTATTCCTTTAACTGTGTCTTCTTTCTACAGTTTGGAGATGTAAGGGAAAAGCAGACATTCATGGTTTTGTCATTTGTTAGATGTTAATGTTGTAACTACTGTTTATTGTATGAAGTGTAAGTGCACAAGTTGTTGACTGTGTGTCCTTTTTTGAATATAGACCCCATGAAGACTAGGTGTTGCCAGGGCAACAACTAATGGGGATCACAACAAACAAACACATCACCATAGTAACCCTCTGTCAACATTCTGTTCACTTCCACAAACAGCAATGTTTCATCTAAAATATGACTGACATCAAGCAAATGTCTAACATGACAATATATACATTGTCAGATAAATCTCAGAAACAATGTGCTACATATGCTAATATTCCTTTCTGCGTAGCTACAGTTGTTTGCATATTGACTTTCCGTTCTGGCTGTTCAGGTCAATTTACATTGGTTTTCTTGGTTTCCTATAAAGGACTCTCACAGTCTAAAGCTCAAAAGACCAGAGCACACGCAGAGAGGCACAACTTCCTTTTGAAATTTTCAATTCTCTAAACCACCAATGGAACGTACACTCATAAATCTGAGTGAGCAGGCTTTCCTATTAATCAACGGTCCTCTCATCTTCCTCAACCTCACTGCGAATATTTTCTACGCATGTTGCTTGATCTTCCCAACATGCAACAGACAAAGGTTCAAGCAGCCTTTAAATATTCTACTGGGATATCTTGTCTGGTGCACAATTTTTTATTTTATCTCTTTGATGTTGGTGGGTGGCGTGATTAACTACGTTGGTGACTTTAACGTGTCTGTTGTGTCGTGGATGATTTTGAGTTGCTACGTGCATTGCAGCATGACGTGTTCTGTTTGGCTGAACTTCTACTACTACATCCAGATTGTCCCTTCACAGCGAGCTCTTTTGATCTGGGTAAAGAGGAACCTCAGGTCCATCACCTGCGTGGCTTTGTTCCTTGATGCAATACTTTTTTGTTTTGATGGTGTCATCAATATTGTACATCTGACCACCTCCAGTGGGTTCACCGATATCAATGATACATGGACTGACAATCACATTGAGGAACTGTACTTGTCAAGCCAAGTTTGTTTCTTCATCCTCAAAGTGTACATCTGGATCTGCCTGTGTATAATGATGGTTTCTAGCTTTTCCACGGCACACTACCTGTACAGACACATAAGAAGCATGGCGTGGGGCGGCAGCTACTTCTCCTGTCCAACGATTCGAAGTCAGATGAGAGTTACCATCACTGGGATCTCTCAAGCAGTACTCTACCTCCTCTATGCCACTTTTTATTTCTTTGATGCATTTACCTACATATTCTCCTCGCAATTTCATCTCAATACTTGGGTCTCCTTCACAGTCACCTCCCTGTACTTATCAGGCACCACGGTCAACTTGGGCATTGGTCAGACTGCATTCAAGCGAAGCGCTGCCGATGTCTGGAAGGCACTCAAAGCACTGTGTGGGGTTGGCATGGCAACAAATGATGTGAAAATGCACTCCAGCCAGTTAACATCAGGTGAAATAGCTAATACTGTAACTGTCGGTGTCCAAATGTCATTGCGTTGATTACTGGATGTACGATATGGTAGTGGTAGTGCTTGAAATATATTTTATACAGTGTGAGGTTTAATTTGATGAACTTGTGTTTTATGGAATAGCAAATATAAATGTCTCATTTTAGTCAATATAATAATTCACATGATGTAAAAAAATGATCCATACACAGAGAAAAAACATTGAGTAATGACTGTGTACCTATTTCTGTATGATTTCACAGTAGTATGCTTCTTTGCATATTCTGATTTGCGTGGGATGCAAATACTGGAGAGTTGCTACATTGCACAGAGTTTAAATACCTCTCAGATTCTGTCTGTAAATCATTTCTGTTATAAATTAGATGATACATGGAATAAAAACATGGAGTGAAGTCTTTATTCCTGTCTGTATGTTTTATTAAAATTTTCTGATTTGCGTGTGATGCAAATACGGCAGATTTGTTACATTACACAGAGTTTGAGTGCTCGAAGTGTTTTATTTGTAAGAGCACTACAAGGGAAGAGGACTCCAAAGCAGAAAGAGCAAACAGAATAAAGATTAACTATGTAACATGTTTCCTAATTAATGGACCTCTTGTTATTGTAACTGGCTTGGCTAATGCATTTTACATCTTTTGCATGGTCTGTCCACTTCAAGGAGAAAGGATCACGCAACCTCTGAAGCTTCTTCTGGAGTCCTTGATTTACTGTACAGTAACTTACCTGATGTCTGTTTTTGTAATGGTCTCTTCTGGACTAACAGTTGAAAGCATTAAGCTTATTCAAACCATATATTTGGTCTAGTTAATATGGCAGTATGGCCTCCCCTTGTCTGAACTTCTTCTACCACACCAAGATTGTACGCTCTTCCTCTGGAATAAGAAGAATATTAACCCATCAGCTTTTTCATTTGGGTTTTTGAGAGAATTTACCGTTTGTTTGATTTTACTCTCGGGCGTTTCCACTATTTGCTTTGATGGATTTGGATTCAGTGTGTCACAATGTCACAATGGATCATGAAATACGTTTGCCTGCAAGAGCTTTCTCAAAATGGCTTACATACATTTTTATCTGACTGTGTGTTATGGCGATGTCCACTGTGTTGACTCTGTACAACCCCTTTTTCCTCCACGCTCCTCATTAAGTGTACCCATTTTGACTTGTACATGGCAGGCACTACGTTGCAGACATCTGGCTCAGAGATGGATGTTGCTGAAGCACAAACAAGAAGACACTGAGGTTATTACTGGAATAAAGAAGTGTATATTTTCTAATAACAGTTAGTTTGTAGGTGCACTGTCTAAATGTATATTTTATTCACACCTCTAATTCATATGAGAGGTCATGCTTATATTTTACATAATCTGATACCTCTTAAATGATAAAAAAAATATATATATAGCTTGATAAATATATATAATGTAAAAATTTCCAGTGGTGAAATTTTGCTTTATTTTCCTTTCATGCCACTTTATACTTCTATATAATTTAGAGGGAACTACTGTGCTTAATTTACAGAAATGTACATTGCATTGTTATCAATTAGACTGCCTGACAGTATAATAATATATCATTTATTATAGTTTAACATTAATAAGGGACATTTTTCTACATTTAATGCTTTTATTTTGTATATTCAAAGTGCATTTTGCTAATAATACTTTTGCTTAAGCAGCACTAACTTTTAAATGCAGGACTTACTGGTAGTGACGTGTTTCTATAGTGTGATATTGCTCCTTTTTAGCTCTAGCAAAGGACCTGAATACTTCCTCCCCAACTATTGATTTAGACAGATTCACTAGCAAAACAATGATTTTGCCCTTTGATGCTGGCAGAGGTCAAATGTTCTAAAGTGCTACCTTCAAGTCCGTCGGAAATATTGCCTTCCAGATTAAACAAACATGAAAAACCTATGAGATGCACAAAAATAGCATTGTAAAAATGTTTTTTGCTGAATTGTGGCAAACCGTTTGAACTGCAAGCGGCAAAGGCAGTATATTTAATTGTTTTATATTATTGTTTGTGGTTCTATATAGTGGTACAGTTGTTTGCTTCTTTTGTTATCCTTGTTTAACTTTCAGTGTTCACGCTTACTGTATGTTTTTCATCATTAAAATGTATTTGGACGTTAATTACAACGTTAATTACTACCTTTTTTGTAATAGTCTACATACTGTTTTTCAAATTTGACTGCAATTGAACTGTAAGTGACTTGGACTCAAATGTTGGTAATTGACCTCCAATTGGCGCTTAAATCTTCCAGGATTACTTATCCTTATCCTTACCTATAGAAGTTTTCAAACTGTTGTCAAAGGCTTAAATAATGAGGAGCCATAAAAAGGAAAAGAATGAAAATTATGATGACTCATAATTATGAGAAAATCAAACTTTTTTGTCTTATGAGAGAAATATCTCTGAAGAATTTTTATTTCCATTATTATGTAATCTCTATTTCACACGATAAGGATAGAATTACAAGATACAAATCTCATAATTATTAAATAACCTTTAATTGTAACATGTCGTGTCATATTTATGACTTGGTATCTTCTAATTGTGAAGATTTGTGATTTATTATAACTTGAAAAGCAACACAAGTCACAATTATGGGATCTGCATGTTTATGACTTAGATTCTGTACTGTAATTATTGTATATGTTATAATATATGTATCTCATAGCTCGAAGAATTATGAGATCTACAGGTCTTATCTCAAAATAACGAGATCCCAAAGTTAAAATTCTGAAATGACATATTTTTCTTGTAATTATCAGATAACTTTGGATTTTCTTGGAATTACGAGTTAATTTCAATGTGATTAAAACCATCTTTTCTGCCATCATTTTGAAATTAAGTGTTGTTAATTATTAAATGCTACATAAAAAATGTACAAGATACACTTCTCACCAACACATGCAACAAGTTAGGAACATGTCGAGACCAGATTGGCTCTTTCCTGTACAGTCAAAACCCCATCTTTTCTCAATGTAACGAAATGAAGAAGATTTTATTGAAGGCAAAAATTGTGTTTGGAAAATGGAATAATCTTTCACTCTGAGTGCTCACAATTCTGAGCTTCCGAGGAGGTCGTGAAGGCATCCTGACTGTGGTCCGGCCCCTCCCCGCTCGGATGTATTCCGTGGTCTCGGCGGTTGATGAGTGCAGGAGAGGGGAGGCATAATGTCAGTTGAAAGGTAGAGGAGGAGATTCATCGATGTTACTCTGGGCGAAATAAAAGTCTCCGTTGGTTTGCCAGATAAACCAGCCGCATCTGAGTTTCCTAACAAAAAAAAAAAAGGATCAGCAAAGGGTTGGGGTGGTGGGAGAGGGAGGGGAAAGAAAAGAGAAAGATTAAATGAGATTGGAATAAACTGGGATAAACGATGTTAAGTCAACGGCTCACCTCCGTGGTCAGGTGAGTAACGTTAAACGAGAGGACTTTCTGTGAGTGTTAACGGCGACCAACCGTTATTGGACACGGTTTTTTTTTTTTTGCTAACGTTAGCATCGAGCTATTACACGGTTGAAGTGTCTTTAATTTGCTTTGATACGGACCGTGGATGTAACGTTACGGTGCAGACCCTCTGAATCCGCCCACTACACCTTAGCAGTTAACAGTTAGTTGACGTGGAGTTGTCTTAACATCAGACAGAGACTAAATGTTCATGTTCATTTTAAACTAACCTATCGTATAAATCCCGTTTTATTCTGGATCTTCTTTAACGTTTGTTGGGTTTTTTTTTTTTTTTGTTGTAGTTTCAGATCACTTCAAAGCGGACGGGAATCTGCGTTAAAACAGCAGTTAAATGATCCGTTAGTTTACCGTAGGTTAACTTTAACGTTAAAACAGAGAGAGAAATAACGTTAGAGCAAATGAGCAGGAATAAAAAGAAAAATATGTGTGTCATCACTAAAATATGTGCCCGATAACAGGGCGCTGCTAACATGAGTTCACTAGTTTTAGCTCCACCAGCTTAAAGATCAGTTATTGGACGTGGATGTCTGTTTTTTCCTATCATTAAATCATTGTAGTTTATCTCCAGTTGTTCTAACAAGTGACTTAGATTTTAGTCTAAGTATTCCTAGATTATATTTTACAAATCTGTGTAGAATTCTGTTTAAAATTATGGTGGGATTAGTAATTTATAGTAATTTAGGGGTTGTTGTTTTTTTTTTCTTTTTTGCTGTCAGGTGATTTTGCCATGGCTACCTAGAGCACCAGTGGTTCAGAAAGTGGCATGGCCCCAGCCCTGACCAAAATCCTGAAAGACGGCCATGGCGTCCACCTGTCCTCGCCTCCTGCCATTGTCAGAATGGACTCAGATGGGAGAGCCGTGTGCAATACTGATCTGGAGTCTCAGATGAGATCGACGGATGATGCTGACCTCCAGAAGATGTGGCTGAACCTTTCCTTGTTTCCCTCTCTGGACTCCTGTCTCCCCGTGAGCCCCCTGGACGTCCCTGCCAACGCTGTGCTTTCCCCGTGTTTGCAGGCGTCTTCCAGCCAGTGTGAGACGGTGCTGCTCCCCAGCCCTGCTTCCCTCCTCAGCCTCCTTTCCTTCAGTAAAGGCCTGATAGATTCTCATCAGGTGGCCTCTGTCTTCCCAGGTGTACCAGACATGTTTTTAGTCCCTGTCCCCGAGCACAATAGCCAAGAGGCTTGTCTGCTGCATGGACACAGTGCTGCTCCTGAATGTGGGCCAGATGGTGGTGATGTGCATCACTCCCCTCTTAGCCTCACCATTGTTCCTCCTTCATATTCCCACGGGGAGGTAAAGTATCAGGGCTACACTCCCTTCTTTGCATCCCCACATACGTTGACCCAGGAGAAGGTGACTGAAATGGGCTGCCCCCCTCCATCTGCAATGCATCCTAGCATTGGCAGGGTGAACCATGACCAGCTGGCCTCCAGAGCTGTGCTGGAGGAGGCCGTGAAGGAGCAGCTCTCCAGGCAGGCAGGGCTGCATGGCCGAGCTCAGAGGCTGCAGAGGAGATTGCAAGCCCTGCTAGGAGAGCACGCTTTGCTACACTGCAGCCAACAGCTGGAGGGGCTGAAAAGGCACTGTCAACTCGGAAGTGTGTCTCTTGACAGCCTGGACTCCATACATCCTGGTTTACTACCTCCAGAAGTGGGCTGTCAACCCCATTTGTCCTGGCTGGAATCCTCCACAGCCTCGTTTTCCTTCGCAGAGCTCAGAGATTTCAGCTGCTCTGGCCAGGCGGTGCTGAGAGGCCTGCAGGAGGCTTTGGACTCTGAGGCCACGGCCAGTAGCAGCTCAGATGAGGAGCAAGAGGACTTCAGGAAGATTCACAGCAAAGTCAAGACTTCCCCTGTGTGAGTATCCTGCAAGTGGAAGTACTTTATATATAGCTGCATGTGGTTTGTGAAAATATGCACACTAATCAACAAGGCTAAAATAATAAAGCACTGAAACGGAGCTTCTAGAGAAAGAAGTATACCAAAATGCTGAAGTATATGACTCAAAACAAAACCAATAAATAGCTGCTAAGAATCTGAAAAAATATAACTTGCACAATGATTCAAGTTTTGTTGTTTCATGAGTTGTGGGCCGCTTTGAAATTGGGGTCTGTTTCTTATTTTGAACTTTGGAGCCACGGTGAATATGTGGCTCTCACAGCTGGTTATTACAGCTAAATAAACAAGCTACAAAGGAGAGACTTTAAAAACCCCCTGAACCATGTATCCTGATTATCAAGTCAAGGTGAATCATATCATTTCACACAGTGTCACACAGTTATCAGCCAGTGTTGAGAAAAACAATAAGAAATCATTTCACTAACATCCCTGGTGTTTTACTGCCAAAAGATTTTGTTGTGCTTTGCTGGGATTTGGTTGCCAGAAGCCAGCTGTGGTTCACACTGGAGCTATTGGCCTTGTTTTAATTCAGGCAAGTTTGGAGTACACAGACGTAGACTCTCACTCTAGGCAACCTTTCAGTTCAGGATAATAAAAAGACACTGCAAAGAAAGTGAGAGGGACCTGATTTCAAAAGAGGTACAAATATGGTGCCAATTGGAGAGAATGAGCATATTTATGTGACATGACAAGAAGGGGAGTATTTAAATCATGCACATCTACAAATGTCAGGGATGAGTCAAGAAGTCCAAGTTTTATTTCAGGTTTTGGAAAGACAGCTTTCTTAGTGTGAGAGGTCCACTGTGCCTCGGCAGTGTCAGACACTTTTACTTGGCCCTCAGTGAAGTTTACAGTGTGGCTGACATAAGTACAAGTTTTGTCCTCCCAGCTGTGGAGAGTGTGATGACATTTTTTAGCCATGCACACACACACACACACACACACACACACACACACATTCTCTTTCCATGCTTCAGTCATAACACATTCAACAGACTCGCAGCTCCCTTTGCCCACAGGCTAGGAAATAAACACAAGACATGCCAGCAAGCCTGTAACATGCCAGCCAATCTGTGCCATAGTGCTCCTCCTTCTTCCTAGCAAAAATACTTTTGAAGTGTGTGCCAGTGCGTGTGGTGTGGATGGGCGGTGCTCTGGTGTGCTTGTGTCCTTGCTCAAAGTGAGTTGTATTGCCTCGGGAGAGGAAAGAAGATTGTGCGATTATGTGTTGTGACGTCCTGTAACCAGTAATAAAAAGACACAACACAGTATCACCTTGCAAAAAAAAAAATTGTGCACATTCCAAAGCATGATGAGAATTATACTTATATTTTACCAGTTTAGATTATCATGCACCGTTCTGGGTAATATTGTGGCAGATGTCCACAAATAAATATGTTAATGGGAAACACTGCAGTACAAAGAGAGCAGTAAAACCCCTGACAGCAATTAATAAACAATTACAACTACCTGAATGCACATTCTGGATTTGGTCTAGGAACAATTAGAAGAAAGAACCATTTTTTTTAAAGATTGTTTTTCTTCCTGGAGAGAGGGAACAGTCAGGGATATCCAGTAAGGGTCCTGAGCCTGAATTGATCGGCAGACCTCGATATCCGCCTTAGGCTGCTTGTCCACCAGGACATCCTGGAAAAGGAGCATTTACATTGGGCAGGATGAGAATGAAGCTCTCTCACTCAGATGGGTGTACTGCATAGTTGTTTTAGAAATTCCAGAGAAAAAGATACCCGCCCCTGTCCACGTAATGCTTATTCTATGATTTTAAAATGAAACTGATAAGTATAACCAACTTGCACAACAACTGAGGGATTTGAGCCTGAGCTGTGTAGATGGTCAGTTTCATTCTTTTTGTGCCATGTTACCATCCTCGTGTTACCCAGGTTAATACACTTCCTGTGGGGACATCAGTGTTAGGGCAGGAGGGGTAACATGCTGGTGTTGGCTTTAGTCCAATTAGACCTTTCTATTTGGACTCAAGTCATGTCTGGTTTAAGTGCAGTGTCATTTACTTCTTCAGTTAGATTTAGTTCTTCAACCCGTCTGTTTGTTTCCTATGGTGTCTGAGTCAGTGCAATAAACAGGAGCCATTTACAAAACTGGGGCATGTTTATTAGTGCTGAGAACAGGATTGAGAAAGGGTGTGTTTTATATGTGTGTAGTGGATGTGTGTCTTTTTTATTTGGCCAGATTCAGTCATCTTGGAAGTGTCAGCTTGCCTTTTGTATAAGTCTGTTGAACAATGCTCTGCTCTTTACCCGTAAACCTCCCCCGGGGAGTTTTTTATGGCAAGTTCCTCCTTGAAGAGGATATCTCCTTGCTGGAGAGGGTACGGGTCGTTGCCCTCGTTTAGAAAATGTGGAAATAGTTGGCCTTTAACATTGTAAGTATGAACTTATAAAGCGGTGACATGGTTTGACTTTGAAACCACGTGTCCACATTGCTCATTTTCTGCACGGGCAGGAGGCCTTCACACTTCCAGCTGTTGCTCATTTTCAGATTTCAGTACGTCTGTAATTTCAAATATACTCTATGGGAGTATTTGTGAAAGGCTACATGTTGGAAAGTTTCCATGCAGGACACACCCAAAAGCCCTAACGCCTCTGCAAGAGCCAAGAAACACTAACAGGAGAACTCGTAACCCCAGAACTACTTGCTGGGGCTGGCCATCCATTCAACCAGGATTTGGCTTAAAAGAAACCCAAACTGTGGAGGGTAGCCAGCGGGTTGCTAGACCCCACACCTAATTCAGAATTCTTAATATGTTCATGAAAAATATGTGTGTAAATATGTAGTTTGTGAACTTGCACAGGTTTAAAGCAACTTTTCCTCTCCCATCCTCTCCTCCCAACTCGCCTACTGCTTGGCAAATATTCCAGGAATTTTCTCATTATACAGTTGGAAAGAGCTGCAGGGTCATTGTCTCTCTGGAGGAAAGAGAGAACCTACTTCTTAACAAACATATATAAGCTTTGGGTTGAGTGAAACTATATATAGCCAACTACATGCTTTGTTTTCATTTGCAAAGTTCTCCTTCATATCGACCAGAAACTGGCTGCTGTGATCAGGCAAGCAAACAACATTTTGCATATTTGACATATATATAACCTTGATGCTGATATTAAAATGACTACCTCCTATTACCAAAGGGCATTGTCAGATACTCTGTGTAGCCGCTTGCTGACTGGTCTAACCTTTCTGTGTGAAGTGGGGGAGTCCCCCCTGTCCTAGCCAGGGTCCAAGAGCGCTGCCATAGCAACTATTGCCCTGCTGAAGCCAGCCAACCAACCGCACGCACGCACGCACGCACGCACGCACGCACGCACGCACGCACACACGCACACACACACACACACACACAGAAGATAAATGCTAACTGAGCAGGTTAGTACCATGGAAACATACTATAGATACACAACACCACACAAATCAACACTGTTTGACTCTGTGGCCTAGATAAGCTTTTGTGCTCTTAGGATGCTAAACCGTTTACACACTATAAGGCAACTAAAATAGGTCATGTGATGACAGTGCTGCATTACCAATGTGTGAATTGACAAATGGTTTGGACCGTCAGTTATCTCTTTGTCCTCCTCTCCTTTTTGTGTTACTTTTCTCTCTGGTGGTGACACACATTTTCCTGATTATGATTCTTAAGCTAACCTCTTCATACACTTCCAGTGGTTGAGTGTAGTGGCCATACAAGATTTTATGACTTATGTCTTTAAATTTCCAAAGCGCAGAGAATGATCGTCTGGTGAAGTCGTAATGTATCAGTGTTTTAAAGCATTTGATAGAAATTAATACATTGCTATAATACTACTGTACATGGGTCTGACTCTCCTTTTCTGTCATCTATCACCCTGCCCCACCTGTCAACAGTGGCAGCTGTGAGGGGCGGTGGTTGGAAGAGAGAGCGGAGCTGGGCAGCAGATGGAGCTGGTTGCAGCTGCGTGTGGCCGAGCTGGAGGGGAGGACACAACAACTGGTGGAGCTCCACAAGCACATCCGCTCTTCCAAGGTAAGACAGAGTTCTCTGTAACCCCCCCCCATAAAGGGCAGTTGACATAATGTATAAACTGGCAGTCATGGAGGGCTTTTATTTAAGGCTTAGATAGGCCTTGATACAAGTCAGTTTTGTGTAAGAAAATATATATAAAATATGTAGGGTCAGCCAACTTTTCTGTTTCCCTGTAACAATGTAGCAGTCACATTTAGTTAAGTACATTAAATAATGCATACTATGAAAAGTTTCAATAATAAGAACATGTGATATACAGGATCAATAGATTAGACTTTAGGTTCAATGCATAGCAGTGTTAAAAAATCTAAAATATGGTGTCTCTCTAATTTTAATAAATCATTGAAATGTCCAAAGTCATTTGGTGGTGGGTTAGTGTTAAAAGGTTAACTCACGTTATTTGTGTGTGTGTGTGTGTGTGTGTGTGTGTGTGTGTGTGTGTGTGTGTGTGTGTGTGTGTGTGTGTGTGTATGTGTCTCTAAGGGTGGTGTGGTACTTGCAGAGTCCCAGCCACTGACAGACAGACAGATTCAGCATACCCTGCTGAGAGAGATGGCGGGGTTATCCTGCACAGCCTCGGATGCTGACAATGAACCCTGCAGCCCCACGCGGCTCCTGCATAACATAGAGAGACAGGTAGGATGGAGGAACTGGTACACACACACACACACACACACACACACACACACACACACACACACACTATAATACTGGGTGTGTGAAGAGTCTGGAATCAATAGGGTTAGTAATCTACAACTCAATATATCAGAATATCCTTTTAAAGCTTATTGCTTTGTATAAAAGCACAGGATATTGTGTATCTGTAATGTTATATCCCGGTGCCAGGTTGAGAAGATTTAACTAATTAATTATGGTATGCATGCTGTTCCTGTGTGTTATTATGCTAAATTCCTGCTGCTTTATGAAGCCTGCAGGAAAAGACCTTGTTCATCCTTCCAGCTTTAGAGGGAGAGATGATGCTGCGATTTATCTGTTAATCTAACACAGTACAGACTGCTTCAATGACATTAAAAGCTGTACCTAAGATGTGCATTTGAATCTGTTCTATTTTTAAAAATGTGAAAGAGAGACGATTGTATTGTATTGTACACCAACCACCTTGTGTTGTGTGTTCCAATTCCTGTGTACATTGTACATTTGGCAAATAAATCAATTCTGATTCTGCTATGTGCTGTCTAAAATCAGAACTGTGTATGTATTGGGGAGCATTGGGCATGTATGAGCAACATCAAGCTCAGCAGCTGCATTGAAGACACTAAATAAATCATTAATAACCATCAATAATCAGTCATCATAAGAACAAAAGTAGAAAAATAAGACAGAGGCTAAAATAACAAGAATTATCCTTTAGCGCCGCACCAGGCAAATTTGATTGGTAGCATTAATAGCAGAGCGGTATGAATAAAATTAGCTAATAAAAAGATTACTCACATGTACTCACTCACTGTTACCACAGACATGGATTGTATTTCACAATAAAGCTTAATGTGCCACTTGTGAAAAGCATTATATGGACGATGTCTTCATTGCAGAGTGCTCAGCTCAACCACATTGTCAACAGTCTGATGCCTCCTCTCAGCTTCTCGCCGCTATCAAAACAACCACACACCTGCAGGGGCAAGAGAGCCTTCACAAGGTAGAGGACACACACACACACACACACACACACACACACACACACACACACACACACACACACACACACACATCTAATACTGTAACTATCTGAGCATGGCAATGTAAGAGTTTATCACACCTACAATGGGATATTCCGCAGCATATAGACTAAATAGATGACAGATCATAGAAGTTAGTTAGTTAATTAAAGCAAACACTTTAGCTGGGTTGGCAAGAACATAAAAAAATCATCAAATATAATAAATAAAACAGAAAAACTTCTCATTTAGGCCTAAGGCTAAGGTATTAAGGTTTAAAGCGCACTGCCTGTTTCTAAAGTAACCCAGTGAAACAGACTGGTCGGTCTCCACCATCTGGCCCAACTTGAATCATCCCTTCATGTCTTTCCTTCCTGCTGCCTTTTAACTCCCTCTGTCTGTCTGTGAAGATAAAAGCCACATGATAAAAAAAAAAGGCTTGTTTATGCATGTAACAAGGGGTTATAAGTAGGTAACATATTGAAAAATGTGTTTTTTTGCTTAGTACTTGTGATCTTGGCATGAATCATATCCCTGACATTTCCATGACCTCATCTGATCTCCCTGCAGCGGTCAGAAAGGAGACTCTGTTTTTGTGCCCGGGAGCTCTAAGAGAAGGAGACCGGGGACCAGGAGCCTCTTTAAAGCTGATTTGTCATGCGTGTGTGCCCGGACCCGACCCCTGGTCACCTACCACAAACCCAGACTGTTCGCTTTCAGCACCTACATCCCCAGCAGGACAAAGGTTGGCCACATGCCGTCTCCTTCATTTCCCAGTCTGTCCGTCTGAACCATTTACACACACACAACTGTCAAAGCACAAAGGCACACACTCTATGACATTCATCTGTAAATGTGATAATGTGTATAGATGGTTACGCAGACGTGGACACATTTATCATGATTCCTATAATTACAGTAGCTAGCGGGCATGTGGACGCTAAAATGTGGTGGTCCCGTTTTCATTCTCTATTCTGCAGAGGTGACACTAAAAACAGCAATGAAGATGACACCAGCACTATGCCAAATGACTGTGTCGCTGTCCAGATTTACTGGTTGACGGTTGATCAAAGTGTGTCAATGCGTGGAAGTTGTAAAACATATTCACTAATTTGTTTAATTAGAATTATTGACATATACATGTCAAATGCAGCTTCGTGCAGTTGCTCTTAGTCAGGCTTCAGGGGTGGAATGCCGTATCACTAAAATAGGTCCTCAAATTAAACGGGAATTAATGTTTAAAGCCGGACACCTGCTTTTAATTAAACAATAATATCTCTTGGATTAGCATCAAATAAACAAGTGCATGTGATTATTTAAAAGCTCAAGCCTTTGTTTATCCTGGGGACATGGCATAGTGCTATGTTCTTACTGGCAGTAAAAGCAGGAGGGTAGTGGTAGAAGTGGCTGGCTTTGCTCTGTTTAGCTTCACACAGTTCTAGTAATAGGAACTGATATCATTGTACAATTATATACATATGTGCAAAACATTTTTCTGATAAACATAGTGGAGCGTTTAGATGCTCAACATCTGGCTGAACACTACTGTTCTAGCAGATTAGAGCAATTGTAGCCATTGTAATAAGAGGAGCACCAAGCTGCCAACACAATTGTGTTATTGCCAAATGACAAGAAAAGGCCTTCAACGACATAATTACTTTAATCACTGTACTTAGGCAAAGAGCAGCTTCCTTATGACTTACCCATACCCTTATGACTCATACTCTAACATAACACAAAGAGAAAGTCAAGTTGATAGTCTATTAACTGTTTAGCACTATGTAAAAAAATAACTTTCTCTCTTCTTGTCTTTTCTCTGTGCTTCAGGACTCGGGGAAGTCCACGTCTACCCTCTCCTCCTCTCTCTCATCACCTTCCTGTTCACGTTGTTCATCTTGTGATCCTGTAGTACTGTGCTCTGATCCTAACTGCAGCTTCAGTAGGGCCCTAACATCCAGGGCCCCCAGCTTGTCTCTCTCAGTTGGTAGGAAAAACATCAACATATTTAACATGGATAGTGTGTAAAGGCTTAACAATCTAAAACCTGTTGCAAGCAGAGTAAACTTGAGTAGGCTTAGCAATGTGTTTCTGTTGAAAGAAATGTGTAATGCTTAGCTCCATATTTGGCCTGCTAGACTTACTCTGAGGTGCAACACACACTGGCCACATTGGATCACATCTGTTGCACACTGGACGTGCCACACTAATAGTGGCAGCTGGCTGTTCCATTCCGGGGAGCGAATGTGATAAAATTGCTGCTTTTCAGGCTTTGATGCTGTTCAACATCATGTGGTTCCTAGCATGTCAGATACCCCACTAGGTCTGTTGTGTTAAATACAAAGGTGGTAGAAGTGGGGAATGGATAAAGGAGGAGACACAAAGGAGGCAGATTGGAAACTGATGAAAATGTCACTCACCCACCACTCTGTCAATTTCCTGTCAGTTTGAATGATCTTATTCTCCCTTTGTCAATAACAGAAGAAGACTGTCTGTCAAGGGAACGTCACCTAAAATAACAGCCTGGCAACAAACATCTTATCACAGTTGATCGTAGCTAAAATAGAATGCGATTACATAAACAGATAAAGCAAGCAGGAGATGGAAATATTGGCTAATGACATGGAGAATAATGACTAATGATGTAACTATGGTAGCAGTTTGTGCAGGGTCACAACACAACGCACAGGCACTGTGCAAGTGATTTACTGTATCACTGTTTTTTATTTAAAAGGTAGATCCACGTGTCAGTCCATTAATTCCTGTCTCTCGTTCCTTCATTATCTCTGCCTCTCTCCTTCTTTTCTCCAAATACATCTGTTGGAGTTCTGTTTGAATCTGGCAACTGGTAAACAGAACAGCAGCGTTCGCTAATGCATCAAGATGCTGCCAATACAAATAGATATGGTGGCCGGTGTGTGTTGCCCCTGATTGCATGCTTGCATTTAGAGATTTACTGAGTACAAATCGTGGATTGCTTGAAATTGTGTCCTCTCCTTCCAGACACTCCTCTGTCCCACCACTTAAAGAAAACCCTGGCCAGAGAAGAATGGTCCCAGAGGCCTTTGGTTGTCAATGTCCAACCATCCAGAGCAGCGCACTACAATAGACGCAGCTCCACACCACTGCACAACAGTAAGATCCTGTCCTTTACCAGTATTGATTACCCTGTTCTATGGTGCTCTCCTCTCTTACATTCTGCTTAGTCTACTCTCTGCAAAGGCACTGAATTTACACTTTTTTCTATGCCATGTACTGAGCCAATGTGTTTAAGTGTTGCTCGTGAGTGGGGCAAAAAAGTGTTACCGTTACCCGCTGTGCATAGTCAAATGATGAGTAAGATGACAGGAAGGCAGAGGTGCTATTTAAAAGGCCGCACCTGCATTCTTGTTGTTATTCATCTCGTAGACAGGAGCCTCACTGGCTTTTGATCCACTTGTCTTGCTGTGGTGGAGCTGTAATGAAGTCTGTTTTTTGAAGTCAATGGTAATTTGATATTGATGCAAAGTCAACACTACTTGCTGCAGCTTCACTGTAAAAACCTTTCCACAGTGTCTTTTATTAGAATTACTATTGTTCTGGCACTTGGTTCCTAATTTGATTAAGCATAGCAAGGAATAATGTGAATTATTTGTACTTAATAAATCGTTTTTTATTTTCCATTCCAAGTAAGTTAATTAGTTACATAAGCACAACATAATAGGTTTAAATTACTTTTTTTAGTTGACACTGTTTAATAATAGTAATAATTTATGACTATGTATAATTAAAAGATACAATTAATCTTGTTTAGACAGTTCTCTCATTTGGTTGTATTTAGTGAAAGCAAGCAATACCACTGTGAATAAAATGGCTGGTTCAAAATCGACCGCTGGGTCTGCTTGTTATCTCCCTGTGTGTCATCATAAGTGGCTCATAGCATGTCAGATACCCCACTGGGTCTGCATGAGGCGTCCCACTGAGAAGTAGATGGAAATAAAATCATTTGGCATTTCACCAATGTCAGTATGTGTTTTTATGTATTAGTCTAAAGCTGATGAATGATTGTTTACTTCTAGCCCTCGTATACCTCTAGTTTCTGGGCTTTAAGAGGGTCTTGCTCTCATGGTTGCCCACAGTGTATACTGATGATCTAAAGCCTTCTGTAATTAGTTAATTTAAGAAAATTGTCCCTGTTAATCCAAGAAAGGTGGAGTAAACACTATGTTTTTGATGGGTGATTGTTTTTATTTTTTGTGAGAAATACAACAGGTGGGGTGAAAAAAAGAGATTGAAAAATTGATGTGGTAGAAGTAGAGAGAGTAAAAGAGGAGACACAAAGGAAGCAGATTAGAAATGGATGAAGACGTCACTCACCCACCACTTTGTCGATTTCCTGTCGGCTTGAATGATCTTATTCTCCTTTTGTTAATAGTGAAAGAAGACTGTTGACTAAATGTCACTTAAAATAATAGTCTGGCACATGGCAACAAACCTCTTATCACAGTTGGTTGTAGCTAAAATGAGATTACGACAAAGCAAGCAGGAGACGGAAATATTGGCAAATGACATGGAGAATAATGACTAATGTCGTAACTTAATTAATAGTTAATTATGATAGCTGTTTATACAGTGTAAGAATAGCACAGGCACTACTACACAAATTATGTAAACCTAGTGGAAGTGTTTTAGTGCAGTTTATTTGATCATTTTTCACCTACTTAAGCAAAAAAGAAAAGATTTAACATGTTTTACTTTTGGCAGGCAAGTTATCTGCACTGTGATTACTTTGCTGTTTGATTTGAGCAAGGAACAGAAAGCTGAGAGGCCATCATCTGTCAAAATAATAAGACTAATGGTGAAGGATTAGCTTTTGTACACTTTAACCAAAGCGTAAAATCTCTGAGGAACTGAAGGTTAGATTGGAATGAAAGGAAATTCCTGTGGTGTATTAACTCTGTGTGTGTGTGTGTGTGTGTGTGTGTGTGTGTGTGTGTGTGTGTGTGTGTGTGTGTGTGTGTGTGTGTGTGTGTGTGTGTGTGTGTGTGTGTGTGTGTGTGTGTGAATTATAGGTCACAAATACAAGCAGCATGCAAGACATAATAAAAGCCGAGTTATGGGTCTGTCACCAATCGGGACAGTAGGGTCTGCTCAGAGTCAACACAGGAGAGCCAATCAAAGAAAAAGGAAGAGAAGACACATCCACAGGCTGAGAGAAGGTGTGTGTATGCAAGTGTATGTTCACCCTGTATTCTGGAGCTGCGGTTCATTAGTCGTTCAACATGCCCTCGTTGACTTTCCCTCTGCACTTGCCCTCGGGGGAAATCCCCCATCGCCTTGACAAGTGTCATTCTGTTTCTGTGGAAAACTCAAGTGCAGTTTCATGTCCTATCTGCTATGACATCAACGGGCTGCTGTTTTACAGTATTTAAAACATATTGTGATTGGAAAAAAAAAAATGTCAGCGCAAACAACCTACAAGTGTAAGTAACACTATTGAGATAATCAGAGTAATCATAAATTCCAATAAATTGCAAGTACTTAACTAGAATGTTACAATTACCCATTGTTGCATTTAGAACAATCCACATTACTGAATTATACAGTTTTGCTCACTTTTTCACATTGTAGCAATGTTAATACCCCACACAATAGTGATTGTTTATGTTATTATGGTATTCAAAGGTCAGGTGGAGGAGATGGAGTTCCTCATTGAAAGGCATTAGTAGTTATTGTGAAGTACCTGCAAAGCAAAACTACTGACTACAAGAGCAAGTGAATTCCATTTAAATCCCCTGCTCCTCCACTTTCCCTCTGCTTTCCAAGTGACCTCTTATGCTGTTACGTAATACCAAGGGCTGAGGATAAGTGAATAAGGCGAAGTGGAACTACTAATGAAACGCAGCTCAGTTTTTTAGTAAATCAGTCTGTGATTGGTAAACACAACCATCTTGAACCTATCAGCCCCCCCCCGGAATTAATTACAGCATACAGAAACATATGGGAATGTGTGTGTGTTATACCCAGATAAGGAAGATGTTCTGTACCAGTTCTGTGACACCGAGGACAGTTCAGAAGAAGTGCTGGAGGAGAGCTTCACACAGGTTTCACGCAAGCAGGCCTCTCAGGTAACACACATATTTTTGAATTTGTACACTTGTGAGAACTCTCTGTGATATACATTAATGCCCAAATCCTAACCCTTACCAGACCTAACCTATCCTACACCTAATTATAACCTGTAAAACCGGGTTTTAATCATTCTTCTGGTGAGGTTGGGACCAAATCCTCACTTTCCAAACACATCCTAGGCCTCAAGGACTCTCGAGGTCTAAAAACCACAATTCCAGATATGCCTAGAGCACAAATGTTTTAGCTCTTACAGCATAAATGCAGCACAACATAAGCTCAGAGGCATCACTTGATGTGCATATGTGAAAAAGCTAGTCAGTCTACAAGCCACCTTGGTTGAATGTGTGCACCTATGTCATCTTACTCCAACTTTTAACTCGGCCATTTTTTCCTTTTAGGGCTTTGTTCGCAAACGCCAGGGAGAGAGTGTGTACAACATCAACAACATTGTCATCCCCATGTCAGTGGCTAAAGTGGAAAAGCTGCAGTACAAAGACATCCTGACACCCAGGTATGGGACAGAACTGCTTCTGAAGGAGAACTCTTTAAATCCTGGTTTTGTATTTTTTCCCAAGTTTCTTAAACCAACAGCTTGACATTTGCTATGGGTTTTCCATTGTCCCCAAAACATTAATCACAATGTAAGGGCTCAAATTTTATTTCTGGTGCAAGCAAAGTCATGTTAAAGAAAAGAGTTGCAAAAAATGGAAATTGTCGCTTTTTGTCCAGTATTGATTTTGTTGATCCATCTGTAGCACCTTTAATTTAGGAAGTGCTTTACAGCGTGTGTCAATGTATTCATGACTGTATATAGTTGCTTATAAATTAAATTAACAGCATTACATTTTTTTAGGGTGTTTAATGCACATCTATTAAGATTAAATACAATGTAATGCAATGTAATTAAACCCACCACTTTTACTTGAAATAGAAAGAAACCGCTTTGTCCGCCATAATTATCTGTCACCTCAAAAAGTGTGTCTTTGGTTGCAGTTGGCGGGTAGTTGACACCCCGTCTCTGATAAACAGGGAGGCAGAGAAGGAGGAGGACAATGAGGAAGGACAGGTAGTGTCTCACCCCTGTGGAAATGAGCTCTGTATTGTGATTTGTGAAGAAGAAGAAAATATTGTCTTTATTCCACTTTGTGTGTGTGTGTTTGTGTGTTTCAGGTGGAGGATCTCATTGATGAAGTCTTTGCCCAGAGACACCTGGCCTTAGAGCAGACAGAGAAATTGCGCTGGTCATCCTGGGGAAAGAGAAAATGCTGCTCACGTCCTAAAAGGTGGAAATATAAATATATTGGCTATTGGTCTTTTTTGGCCGATTTTTGTCATTTTATTTTGCTAAATTAACTGGCTGCCACCCAAGAATGAGAGCTGCTCGGTGACAGACGTGAGAGGAAAAACAGCCGTAGAGCCAGTGTATTTTCACATCCGACTGTGGTGAATAAAGAGTTTATTTTGAGTAGTTTGGCAACAGGGAATACAGTAACAAGGTGATTCACAGAGGCTGCAAACAAGACTCTTAACTCTGGGGAAGGTGGGGACACAGCAGTGACAGACCAGAAGAGGAGAGGCATGAAGCGGGTAGAAGAGCAAGGGAGGTCGGGGGCATCAGAGAGGCAGCCAGAATATTAAGACACAGTGTTGAAAACTGCTTTATTTGAATACTGTTATATCAGGTGACACCAAATAAAATAAATGAAATAAATTCAAAATAAATTGGCTCTATTGGACGTGGTCATATTTCATGCTCATATCAGACAATAATAACAAAGAGATGGATTTGACAATTGGGTTAAATTCTGTGCTGACAGTGCAACTTTTGCTGACTTGGTTTGTTCATCTCCGTGCATGTAAATATAGCCCGTGTGAAAGTGGAGTGTTGAGTAATTTCCCAGTGAAGTTTCATGGGGTATGTTTGTTTTTTCACTCCAGATCTGGCAGCAGGTTGTCAGGCAGTGGAGGCGGGATGTGCACATCAGGAGAGGAGAGCTCTGTGGAGCTGAGTTGTGCTCAGCTGGATACCGATGAACAGCAAAGCTCAGAGGAGTGGCTGGTAAGATCAAAAGCACCACAGCTGAAGCCCCCCCAAAGTCCCCCCCTAAACGGACTGAATATCAGAGTATGATGATCCAGGTGCCATAGGAGGGAGCTCATCCTGAGTAATACACATCAATTTTCTATTGGCTTTTATAGCATGTTACTAAGTATAGTAACATGCTTTTTCTTTCCTTAAAGAGGAGACTGAGAAGCTTATAGATGGTAATTTCTCACTTTAACCCCTAAAAGATGTTTTCTGATACATCCCAGTCAAAGATAAGGCTGCGTTATTTGTATTTCAGAAGAGGGAGGACGAGTATAGAGTGGAAAAAATGGGTTGCGGTCTAATCAATACTCTCTCCCAGTCATATCGTGTCAGTTTCAAAGCGTCGATGGATGCTTGAGAGCCTACACAGATACTTGTCTCCACTCTGCTCCTGTTGCATGATTGCTCTGTACCACTTTGCTTTGATTGGAGAAGGAATGAGCTGCTACTGAACCAGATTGTCCTAATCAACCTTCTCCACACCACAAATATCCCCTACCTCACGGCTTTGCACTTCTCATGCACTCCAGCACCCATACAAACCCTGATTAAAGCTCAGACTTTGATTTTATTTTTTTTGCCCCACCTATGATACAGCGTTCAAAATCTAAATTCAATGAAGGGACCGACATGGGAAGAGCAGTTATCAGGGTTATTATTTCACAATTTAATATGTGTTGCACTGTATGAGGCAGATGCAATTCCACGCAAATGTAAGTGTGGTGGAAATTATGTTTACTTGATTTGTTGATTAATTAATAAATTCATTAATTACTGTCATCTGTCCTCCGGCAGCCTCAGACACCCTGGGAGCCCCGAGCGTTTCCTTTAGATGAGAATGAAGAAGCCCTGCTCTCTTATAACCTAGAAGAGGTCCCATCAGAGTGGTCAGAGTGGAGCTCTGCCAGCTTGACGTCGAAGAACTCCAACTCCCATCTCTCCCCAGCTCGGTCCTCTGGTGCTACGCTGCCATCTGGTGGACAAAGCAAGAGCAGAACACCTGATGGAAGCTGAGAGAGCAGTGCCTTACTTTTTTTACATGTGAGTTGGGAAATACAGCGAATTTAATTCCATTTGATCGTATAGGCATATGTCATGCTTACAAATGCTGTAACACAAGTGCCAGTACTTTTGCAGATTTTTTTTAATGCTTATTTCAGTTCAAAAGTCGGTTTAGTAAATCATTTTGAGTTATTTAGTCATTAATTTAATTATCTGTGCATCTATTCATCTGTCCAGTATGTAATTCATTGAACAAATGATTGATTAAAGTGTTAATGGATTTCTGGTTTCATTTTTCTCTGCACACATTTGTTAATTGATTAATTGACTGATGCACTAGTCATTAAGAAAGACATAATTCATTCTTAATAATTCAGAGTACAATATTTTAGTAAGTTAAACGGTCAACGGATCTCAATCAAACATTCAGTAACATTTTTTATGTTTCTAACAGTTACTCAAATGGTTATATTTGTCTTTCCTCTCCAGATCACCTCACGTCTGGGACCATGAGGAGAAAATGTACCCTGGGAAACTTTTAATCGGGATACTTTCTACATTCCACGAGTACAGTGGTGTTATTTGCTCAATACTTTGAAGCAAATGTGTTTATTTAGTTGGTATTGTAACATGTGTCACAATAGTTTGAACTTACTACTGTAGCTTTTTTCTATACCTTCAGGTTTTAATGTACAAGAGGTACTGTATGTAAAGAAATATGTACCAGCACAGCCCCACTGTAGTCTCAGGTTTGTATACTGTTTGTAGTTGTCACGTGCTATTTATTTTCACTGTTGTCTTAAAAAGTCTGTATAGAAAGACTTTAGTACATGCATATATTTATGTAATTTTACCTGATTTTCATGTGTTCTTTTTCTGTTGATGCTGTCATTTGGTTTGTATTTTTTATGAAGAAAGAAAAAACATTAGTAAACATTAACATTAGTAAACATACTGTAGTGGTGGGTGTCGTACTTTGCCAGTCTGAATGTTTTCTGAGGGCTGATTCAACTGGTTACAAACAGAGCATCTGAGTGTCGCTGGGGCAGAATATACAAAGCTCTTGACTGTTGTTTTTAGGCCCCTGCATGAAGAGGATGGGATCATTAGAAAAGCACAAACCTTTATGTATCAGAGACCTCACAGCACATGGAATTAGTTGAATTGGGGACAGAAAAGAAGAAATATATAAAAAAAGGAGGAAAATATACATGTCAGGTTTCCTCAAGACTCACAAAGTCATGCTACATCTCACAATCAGTGAAAGCTGAATGTGTAGGAAGTTGATCTTTTCAGCTTAAAGACACAAGACACAGAAAATCTAATAGAAGCTGTATGGTTTTTATGTCAGTCACGTGAAATATGTCTGCAACTTCAGCCAAATGTACTTAACTAAGAAGTCATTGGTGCAAGCTAATACTGGAAGGACAAACTAATGTGAGGTCATTTCAGTCATTTGGATGATTAACATTTATGGAGGTCACTGCTTTTTAGAGCCACAGTCCCAGTGTAACAGCTCATACTTTGATCCCATATGCATAACCTCCTCTTATAATATCCTTCACAGCTACCAGGAGGCCTGATGGGCAGATGGTGGTCAAGGTCATCCTTCTCATCCACATGTATGTGTGTCATGTGTGTGCTTTATATCAGGATGAGAGACTGGGTGCCCAGAATTAGAAACTCAAATCACATGAAATTAATTTACAGGTTAGTAATTATCTTATTCCAGGTTGGTTGGTGTGAATAGGATTTGGTTGTTAATCGAGTTTCCATTTCCGTTGCTTTAGATGTCTGTTGAGGCAAATCTTTAATTCTTTTTTTAAACAAGACCCCCCTCCCTTACTGGTGATTATTTTCTGGGTACTTAAAACACAATATTTACTGGAAAAATGTCATGTCACTTCCATTTTGGCCAGTTGCTTCTTTGCTCAGGTGCTGTGAACAAGAGACTTTGTCAGCTCTCTGTGAAACGTAAAGGAGAGTCTTCAGTCTCGCCTCTCCTGTAGGAGGTCCACCTTACTCTGCCCAGACACATCTGTCTGATTCTGATAGCTGGCAGGCAAAATGAGCCTCTGATGGCCACATGAGGGCCATGTTGCTTCTTAGAAAGCCAGCTTCAGTCGCCATTATAATTGAGTCCCTCAAGAAACTTTTAATTAAACTGGAATGAACAGAATACGCTGGTGATTGTTGGAAGATATGTATTTCTTCAACTGAGCCCAATAAATGATTGTGTATGTGTCATGGATACAACTGTTAAGAGCAGTTCTTTGTTATGTTGTATTTCTACATGCTTGTAACTGCAGACGTTGCACTCCAGAGGGTGCTCTTCCATGTCTGACATTGTATGCAACCCTGCATTGGATGCAGTAGAAAGTGATGCAACAATAAAACTATAACAACATAACAGTTTTTATACTGTTACAATTTTTACTCTACTGGGATTTTGAAATGTATGCTTTCCCATCTGTCCATACGAAACCTACTTTACAATTATATCTTTTTAAGACATATTGTGGCTGCACTGTAATGATATCTGTCCACTTCATATGAACATTATTGAGATTAAATTAAATGTAAGAGTTTATTCTGAAAAGACGGGCTGCTATTACTGTTTTTCAGCTGGTGGCAAAAAATAATAACAAATTCAACAGATATCAACTGAAACTTTTGGATAAATATTTTACTACAAGAGGTAAGTAAGATAAAATATATATATATATATTTTTGAGGTTTGTGGTGTATAACTTTAATTTGATTTATTATACCTGTGGTTTTTGTCAATGTGTACAAAAGGGGGCGCCAGTCCCCACCAGGACATTTGCCATGATCTTGCAAATCTTCTAGTTTATTGTTAGCAGCTTCAAGACCCCCAAAAACAAACTCGCAATTGTAACATTTGTCAATATTTCAAAATCCTTGTTAGTTTGTTATAGCCACTAATATATGTATTCTTTTTTTTTTTAAAGGAAGGGTTTTGCTATACTAACTAGTCTAGCTAAGATTTCTATGTAAACCCCAGCTAAAGGCAACAGATCAGTTTCTAGTCAGACATTAAATGACTATGGAGCATGCGTTATCAATTAAAACACAATGGTTTATTTTATTTATCAGCAAGAAGCAGTCAATACATTCTTATTATTCCTATCAAGTTTGATCAGGCTACAGATATCGTTAGCTAACACTGCCAAGCCGAGCAATAAGCTAGTTATATTTAAGTTAAGCCAAATTTTATTCGTATCACCCAAATAAGAAATCACAAATTTGTCTCAAAGGGACTTCACAATCTGTATGTTTGGGCAAAAAATGGAAGAAACTTCCAGAAGAGCAACAGATGAATGGTCTAGATATCAGAGACACACATCACAGGAGCCACTTTGACATGAAATAGTGGGTTAAACACAGGTGTTACCAATGATACTAATTAAAGTTCAGTACCATTTAGTGTAGCAGAGCATTCCCAGTGTGCCAGCATGCACAATAGCAGCACCCTGTTTGAACTGAATGGAACACAACCTTAATAAGCACCATTGGTAACACCTGTGTTTACTCACTATTTCATGTTTAAATGACTTTAAACAAAAAAAAAAAAAAACTACAGTTGATACATTGTAGACGCTAAAGAATCAAATTCAAATGTCTCCTAATTGTAATTTAAAAAAAAAAAAAAAAACGATGTCTCTAATCCCTCGAAAACGGGTGGAGCGCAGCACCGTAATTACCCGAGCACTGTAACAATGTAACGGCGTGACTAGCAAGCCTACGGTCATTACGGTAAATGTAGGCTGCGGAGCCTGTGTGTCCGACAGACCGGGGAGTTGCACTGAAAGACACGGCGCCGAACAGGTAAAAAAAAAACCAAAAAACAACTGACTTCTTCATTTATACAACAGTGTGATAATGCAAGCGAATGTGTATGAATGGCAGTGGCAGTCGAAAAGCTTGTGATATTGACGGTCAGAGGGAAGGCTTTAGCCCGGACAGTGAATGAGCATTTTAGCAGGCAGTGGAGCTGAAATGATGAGGTGCCCCCTTCCTCTGTGTGGATGGAGAAAGGGACGCATTGTTCATCTAACTGGAGAACTGGGTCTGGGTTTTTATGACTCTCTGCTGTCTCATCTCTGTTTTTTTCAGCCAGGTTTAAATGAGCAGTGTTGCGGAATTTGTCTGATATGAAAGCAACAGATCAATCAACCAAATCTCTCAGATAGGTAAGACTTATTGATTTTGCCTTTTATAGCGATCATTGGTCCAATTATAACACGTTCTTGAATATGCTTGTTCTGTTGACGGGTTGAAAGGATAATGTCTGCATTGTGCTACATAAAGCCTCTACCTTATTGCGGTCACTGCGGGAACTTGCCTTGCTGCGGTGGCATTGCACGGCTACCAGGCTGTAGCAATCCTATAACACATTATAGGAAAGCTATAACATGAGGTTACTGTGAAAAATTAATTGAGAGAGAGAGAAAAAAAAAAAAGCCCCTATAGAAATATATAATAGTGGTTTATAACGTGAGCAACGCTGCCTAATGGGAGAGGAAAGAGAGAGAGGGGTGCAAATACAGGTGCTGAGTCATATTGGATGGTTCCTCTCAGATTGATCATTCAAATTAAAGCCAAATATATGCATTTTATATCACTGTCATTGTCACCGATTTTAAGCTGCAGCATTCATGTTGTTGGATTTGATTAAATTTGAAATAATGTGTTAAGTCTTGTTACGTTAAGACCTGATCTCCTCATTAAACCCAAATCTACATTATAAACCCTGCATATACAGCTAAGGCAGCCTGGGTTGGTACACCTCAGAGACATTTTTTTTTTTTTTTTTAACCTCATACTGATTGGATGTTAAATGGTCAGCTTAAACATAATAGATCTAGGTCTTACACACTTGTAGGCTAATCAGTCCAGTCTCATTTACATACAGGGGCTGGGTATTGATTTCCGTCTGTCGTGTCCACTTTACAGCAGTGTGTGCAGATACATTTAAATGCCTGATGCATTCAAGATGAGGCAGCAGCTCGGAGCTCCTCCTCACTTAGTGGTTGGGCTCACACTCCTGGAAGACTGTGGCTGGTAATCAATCAGTTTGTATCATTTCACCTTGTTCTGCTTTTTGCCTGCTGTATGCGTTTAAGCACAGGAGCAGATTCAGCTGCGTACCGACTTGATTCTTTGGCCATTACGTGCTCCTAGCCTGACTATAAGGAAGGGCAGATGAGAGGTTACGAGCAACGATTCGGGAGATTTCTCACAGTTGATGTCTGTAGTTTGTTTGTTGAAACGTGTGACTGTAGCTCCTGCTTGGTCTTACATAATTTCTCTATGATATGATGGCATCTTGTGTTTGCAACTCTATGTCTGTGTTTGTATGTGTTTCATGCAAAAACTCGTAATTCTGATGCTAAATACTTGATATAGATTTTGTGAAACTTGGTAGGCGGGCTGCGTTTATTGATTGTCTTTGTTTTTTGGTAAGGGCTTAGAGGGGAAATGAGCCTCTGAGATTGGATGTGCTGGCCGGTCTTTACAATGATGTGCTTTTTCCCTAGCAGAAATATAAGTTAACAGTTTTTTCTTGCTGAGTCAGAGGTACTTTCATTTGGAAACTCATTCTGAAACTGATTGTTACAAGCTGATTTACAGAAGTAATTTGGTAGTAAGTGAATATTCATTAAGTATTCATCATGTGCAGTGACATCAGCTAAAAGTGCAGATGTCAAGGTGATGCATGGGCGGTCTATACCTGAACTAATGAATCACTGCCTGTGCGGTCAATACAGTAGGAGGCTGGATGTCAGTCAGCGAGGAATCAGAATCAGAAGATGAACCAGAGCACTCAGGGTTTTTTTAAAAAAAAAATTTTTTTATGGTCTCTCAATACCTCAATTTATACAATAGTGCTGTGGATTAATGCAGATTTATAGTGTGAATAAATGAATCACAAGCTGAGAGTGTCTGGCATAGCGAGGGGTTTTAGTTCAGTGGGGAATGTTCAGTGCCTGATATTAAAGGCCATGTTAGAAGTATGGAGAAAGATGGTCTCAGTCTCAATATTGAAAATGTCCCTTGCGTTGTCACTGACAAGAGACAACTGGGTAACAGTAATTGGGCAGAAGAGTGAGGGAACCTTAAGGTGGAATACGGTCACAGAAGCTGAGAAAGGGAAAATGGTCCTTAAACATACAGTGCTTTTAAAACAGAACTTTAAAACCAATTGTTTATTTAACTGGTAACCAGTGAAGGGAGGCTAGTTGGTACCAGTCAGGAGCCTGGTGGCAGCATTTTAGACCACCTGCAGGGGGGACTGCCTGACTTCCACAGTTACAAAAAAAAAGACAGAGTGACAGTTTCTATATACTCACCTCAGACAGAACATTATTGTATTGATGTTCCAGTGGAAGATAGAAACATCTCAAGTTTACTTTAGTTGTTTTGAAAAATCTATTTAATTTACAAACTGCAAAAAACAGGAACACAAAGGACACAGTAAAGAAATGGTGACAATATGAGGTGAACATATCATCTTATGCAGTTATAATTGTCCACTGCACTGAGGATCTAATGGACAGACAGTTGATAGTTTGGGTTATAAATGTGATGTTCCCTTCTGTTTCCTGCTCCTGATAAGATTGTTTGGATTAATTAGGTTAAACTGGGGATTTGTTGTGTTACCACAAGGTGTTGCTTGCCCTAATGGACTGTTGTGCTAATGCTGTGTCTTGATGTGTTACTGCATTTCTATCTCAGCAGTTATATTTAGCCTACAGTGTTGGTACAATTAGTAGATTTGAAATGAAATGAAAAGGTATGACCCAGGCTGTAGAAAGAAATCCCTCAAAGACCTGTTAAATATGTCTGTTATATTTCTTGTATAGGTATCTAAAGGGGGGGAAAAAAACACTGAATCGATCATTTTCATTGTCTTCAGTGCAGTTGGCTGTCAGAGTGAGCAGTCCAGGCAGAGGTGCCAGCCTAGGTAACACTGCAACAGGCCGGTTCACACTCGTGTGGTGCCACGTACTGTAGGTCAGCTTTACATAAGCCCTGTGTGTCAGTGACTACCTAATCCTGATTCCTACAAAGATACTTAGACAGTCGGGCACACACACACACACACACACACACACACACACAAACACACAAACACGTACACAAACAAGCAGTCCTCACTTGTCAGATTCAACAATTGACGTAATGCTCTGTGTGTATGTTTGTGTGTGAGACAGAAAATGTGGGGAAGGCTCTCTGTATGAAAGAAGAGAGACACTTGGTGGTAGCTTTGGCAGCAGCACCAACACACTCACCCGGCATGTCTGCCAGCTAGCTGCCAATCTCACTCCCTCTCTCTCTGCCTAAGTGAACTACTCCAGGTTTTTTGTAGATTAGCTTGTTGGTCAGCGTGCTTATGAAGTTATGAGAAGATGATCCTATATGCTTCATGCTAATGCTCAACTAGGGCTGCAACTAACTATTATTCTCATTATTGATTTTTTCTTTTATCAATTAGTGAATTGTCTCCAAAATGCCCAAATCACAATTTCCTCACATCTTTAAACAGTTTGTTTTCTGGACTGCCCCCAAAATGATTTAAGTTATCAGGAAGACCCCAAATTGACTCACATTTTGTGAGTCAAATCTCTTTTCTTTTTTTAGCTATGTCATTGTACACAGAACAATGCAGGAGCAACAGCATGGCAGGCAGTAAACTGTATAAACCGAGTCTGAAAATTATTACAAATCAAAAACCTGTGGAAGCGGAGAAGGGTAATAGAAACGGAGGGGAGCGTGATGCTGGGACAGCGTGAGGCAGGGCTTTGGTGATGACTGTTAGTGAGGTCAGCTAAACCACTTTTGATCCAGACGACACTATCAGCAGCCTGGCAAGAGAGACGCTCCGTGGTGCGCTGGGATTTTATAACCAAATTATGAGCAGGACTCGCACTTTTACTTTCTCTGACCGTGTGGAAATCTGATGAATCTTACAGGTAAAACACAGCCTCTTACACAGCCCTACTTGTTTTTTATTTATAAACAACAGACCGAAACCCAGAGATATTCATTTTACTATCACATAAAACAAGAAAGAAAAGAAGCAACAGACAAAATGAAATGTTTGACATTTGTGCTTGAAAAATGACTTACAGTTATCAATAGAATGTACTATATTCATGTTATATACTGTATATTTATATTATATTTAATTTAATTTGTACCAGTCCCTCACACAAAGCTGCCAGTCTTACTGTAGCAACATATCACCTACAATGTATTGTTGTTTAAATGTAGAGTTGCTTTGAGTTTCTAGGCCGTCAAAACTTTGGCACAATATTATATATATATATATATATATATATATATATATACAGCCTACATTCGCTTAATATATTCAAGTTGAACAATTTCAGACAAGCCATCATCATGGGTTGACTGCCAAAGTAAAGTATGGCAACCCATTAGGGAAAATCCGCCATCTCCACACAGTAATATTTTTGAAATTGGGTGAGAGAGGTGGAAAGTACCAGATGTTCAGTACAGAAATAAACTAAAGGCTCACGCTACAGAAATGTGACTCTTTTCTTTCGTTTGAAGAGTTATATTTTTAAAGACACCAATAAATGAAGTACCAAAACATTTATTGAACATGCTCTGTTGACAGTATTGAATGAAAATACCATTTCGCACTCTTATCTCCACACTGAAGATGACCTCCCCTCTTTTCAAGGATGGAGAGAGTCAAGAAAAAAAACCAATATGAAATACGGGGTCTATAAACAGCTTGCATGTCGTTGATAAAGTGTTTGGCATTGCACATTAGCTGGCTGCATTCAGTTTTACAGTAGAGGGCAGAGGGCCAAGGATACCTACATGGCAACTACACATTTAATGTCTAGTGTGTTGTTAAGATTGTGTGGTAATAAACTGTAAACTGTAATTTACACTTGTATGTTTTTTCCCAAGTCAGGGTCAGTTACAGAAGGGCAACCTTTAGCTGGATGAGTCATTGTCTTGCCAAAACGTGGCCTGCAACAGACTACGTAATCCTTGTTTTTAGCCTAGAAGTTGATGATAATTTGTGGACCCCAACGGTCAGTTAAATAGAGTGGGGGATGAGCAGTAAAAGTAAAAAAAAAAGTTTTTTCAAGGTTTTGTGAACCACCACAACCTCACAAGGTCCTTGAGAATACGGTCAACAATATAGAAA